AACAAAAAGTACAAAATTAAAATAAGGTTTACTTTGTAAATTGTAGTTCTTTTCACGCTGCATCTTGTGGTATATTTTGTTTTTTTAAAACAACGCATTAAGTGATGCGAAAATGAAATAGGAAAAGGCCATTTTTTTGTCCGCGAGAAAGTAAAACTCAAATATCATCTACTTTCATTTTATTGTTTCCGTTAAACGTAGAAAAAAGTAGTGTTTGCTACGTCCGATAAAATATATTTCATTTGCCTTGCTTCTTTCACGTGTACAGCCGAAATGCCCATGGCAATACTGCCACTGTGATACCATTATCAATACTATTGCAGCAGTGCGGTGAGACTTCCAGTTGTGATGGACATCTCTGCTATACAACCGAGCACCTGTACATAATCAGTCAATAGAAAGTGTATTTGTAGAGCATGATTATCTAATTTGCATGAAAAAAAAAAAGATAGTGATGTAGACCGAGAATGTCTATAACTTATACCCCTATCATTCAATCAAGCTATTTTGCAACTCTCTGATAAAAATTTCAAACATGAAAAACATGAAAACTACGTTTGATATCAGCAAAACTGTTCAAATTATTGATTGGAACCAAATCAGACTTCAATATAGAACAAAATACTTTTTGTATAATATAGATACATTTGAAAACATTTTCTGTTGACTTGAATAATTCTCGTATAGTAGTCTTTCGTGTCTTTAAACTAACATGAAACTGGTCTATATACGCCTGCAAATGATTACATAATATCAACAATAGGACAACAAAAACTTCAAAACGTTTTAATCATGTTTTCTCTTTGTCTTTATGAATCATTTTTAATTCAATTGAGATAGACCTGTTCTAATTTAGAAAACTTTCATTGGTTATTCGAAAAACTTTTCAGCACTAAAATTGTATGAATTTCATCTTTACTTAAGAAAAAAAAGAATTAGTAAATCAAGTATAATTCATATCGATACCATCAGTAGTTGAGTCTATGGATTAACATATACAAATTGGTATACATGACAGCTTTCTTGCAAACAAAAAAGTGTTTTCTTTTTTTTAAAGGAAATTTCATTTCATGGTGAAAGAGCAGAATTAATTCATTCAAATTCTCAACGAGAAATTGCTAAACGACAAGTATTCGATAGTCTATGGATTGAATATTCATGGTCAGCATCAAATTTTGCAATATATATACGTATTAATCGTGTAAAAATTGATAATCAACTTGATTATACAATATTTCATATTATGTTTCATCCAAGTATTTCAAAAGGAACAGGATCTGGGGGGGATTGGCGGAGTGGCAATATGTTCGTTTCTCGAGAATCGGTATCATGTTCGAGCCTTCCCCCCTACGGCACCAAGTTTTAAATAATTCTGTTCTGCTCTACACGTCTCAAAAACTACTTGTTCGTCGATGG